ATGTGAGTAAGAGATAAAGGCTAATAGGGAACAGCTGGGCTAGCTTAGCAGAACAGTGAAGTGGAGTGGAGATGCGTTGCTGGAACCCTATATTCCTCTTGAAACGGAAGGGAATAATAATTATAGCAGTTATGAGGCGATGTGTTTGAAAACTTGGTCAAACTGAGTCAAAACCTAATTTTTATTGTGTGATACTCAGACTTATCAAGGCATGCTATTGTAATCGAATCTTTGAGTGCGTATGAAATATAACGAATAACGTGTAAGATTGTAAAACTGTCTTATGTCAGAGTGTGGTGTCAGAAAAGGCTTCCTAGCAATAAAGTAGTAGATGCCGCTTAACAGTTGTGCATCGGTTTTTATTTGACGAGTTTGGTGAAAACTTCATAACATCGGTTCACAGCAGTAGCTATTACTAGATGAAATAGTGAAAAAATGATTAAACTGGGGCATTCAAAAAGGTATGTATATATGGAGATGCTTTTGTCTGTAGCATCCTTCATTCTTCAATTGATTTATTTGGCTTCTAAGAAGTTTTAGTGGTTCAACTCTATTTGGTTGATAGCAGCTAGTGTGGATGAATCCACAATACATGCTTTTCCTCACATAAGACACATCAACTGGATGTGCCTGTATCGTAAGTATATATATATATTGATTTTCCCACTGAAATTCAAGAGTCAGGGTACCACCCACTAGGCCTCTGAGCCACAGTAGCCACCTCTTCTACAGTGCCTATCGGTTATTATTCATTGGTGTTAATTCGAACAGTACATTTTCAGTAAATAGTAGGGCACTATTAAAACAGAAAAACAGTTTGAGTTGTGACGGAATGTGAACTATTAGTTTTATGATGAAATATTCTACGTCAAGTCAACCAATCTACGTATAACACTTGCTGGATTTCACACCTCGTCATGTAGTGGCTCGAAGTATAACCCTGGCTCGACTGTCTCTTCACTTTAATAGCAAGGAATTATTTCATCTTAATACGGTATTAGAAACACAATGGAAGAAATTGTTTTTTTATTCCTTTACGTTCCCAGTGGAACATAGGGCTTCAAACTAAAGTTTTGAGCTTTTCCTAGCGGTGGTATTTATTTTTATGAGGTGAGGTTTCTAGCCTCATACCCAACCTTCCCTCTTTACTAGTCCTATTACTGGCTTAGTGAGGTAGAGGAGTGCATCGGCCGGGGATTGAGCCCCGAACCATCTGTGTGGTCGGCGACCATTCTGTCGGTGTGCCACCGACGCACAATGAAAGAAACTGTATGGTGAAAATCTAGCTTGTTAAATGACTTAAGAGAGGCTAAAAAAGCGCATGAATGATACATTTATATCATTTATGTAATTCTATATTAATTTAATCCTCATATGGGCAACTTATTGGTTAAAAAAGTTCTAGGAAGTCTCTAGACAAATGCTTATCTGATAAATGTTTCTCTTAGCATTCTATGCAGACATCACTTTAGATAATTATATATGAATTAAGATAATTGATAGTTTAAGAACGGGATTTAAGCAGGCGAATACGTATTTTTTTGAGTCATTTCTCACCAGGCTTTACAATTACTTAGTAAAATATCGGTCACAGATGTTTGAATAAATAGAATCAAAAACAATCAAGAAGAGTGTAAGTAGAACAATAATAATAATAAATTGTGAAAATCGGATTAAAATATGCAACTGTAAAGGAGTATAATATTGATAATAAAATTAGCAGTTAAAAAAATTAAAAATATCCATTGTCATCAGGATAACTATTCTAAGTCGGGGTTGTAAGCCATGGCAGGGAGAGAGACTAAAAAAAGTTTTCTTAACATGAAGATTGATTTGAAAAATCTTTGTTGCAACTGCCACACCTATGGTTGGTAATCGAAGGCAAATAAAATTGGGTAATTGAGGTGGCAATTTATGTAGAATTGTAAAGGCGGAATTCTTATCTACAAGATGTGCCAGTATGGAACTCGTGATTGACTTCATGATTCCTTGTCCTAACCACTTTGAACAACGCTCAAGAAGGCGACAGTGTGCTAGCCGATTTGTTCTACCTACGTAACTGTCTCCATTATAAGAGTTAAATTTATCAATGCACATTGAAGTGGCCAGATTCAGTAGCTTATCCTTCACCTGCAGTGAAATTATACAAGAAGTGGTGGATTTTGAACATAATGTTGCGCCGAAAAATATTTTAGCTGTTATTTTCCGGAATTTCGATATCGGTAATCCAGTGGCTGTCTCTTTTGAACTGTAAAGTCATATATATATATATATATATAATGTACATTAGCATATATATATACACACTTTTCTTCATCACACTATGCAAGCATTTCTGCCTAACACTTTTCATGATGCAGGCACTGAAAATTTTCTGGATATCTGTTCTCATGTAATATGTTTTCTGTTTCCCCTATTTCATTATCGAGAGTATCGGTTATGTATTGGCCAACCCATGACGTTTCCCCTAAAATAACCCACCTAACACTCCAGTCTTGTCACTTTATCATCAGGACATTATAAATGATAAAGTGTTGCCCTTTTCTGTTTCGTATGTGAACTCACTTTGTGAGTGAGCCATACTGATCGTTTTGAGAGGGAACTCGTTATCGATTATAAAACCTGTTGAGAATTTACTGAGTGTATATTAAACGTTTTGTGCAAGAAATTCACCAAGAGAGGCTGTAGTGTTAGTCCTGCAAAAGAGCAACTAATGCTTAAATGTTGTGCAGAATACTCTTATGATATTTGGACTAAACAGGAGTTATGGAGCCTACGGGTTTCGTAAACTTCGTCAATAATTATAAAAGAAAATAAATTGACCATAAAATGGGAGTTTGTTTTCACCTAGGGCGCTCTGGAAGTTATTTTCTGTTTCATGATAAATAAACAGACCATTTTCTTAAATGAAATCGTATGTATGTCGGCTTTTTCTGTGTCTTCATAGACATTTTTCCTTGTTTTCATAGTCTTACTGTGATACATTTTTAATCAACAGAGTCATACTAGCTTGTTTGCTGATTAGTAGAAAAATGTAGCTTACGTCCATTGCTGAACATGATAAACTGAATAATTCCTAAAGAAATCAATTCCATGGATTAAAAACATGAAGGGCGTTGTGATATGTCCAAAAGATAAACGAAAGTTTCAATTTTTATTCCGTAAGACACTTACGCCTTCTCTTCATGTCTCATAAAAGGAAAAAAGCCTTTAGGGCATACCAAGCGCACTGATAAAAGAATTTCATTTTTATTACATTACTATCCTCTTTATTGTCGTATGAAGTGCTGTTTTTCAAAAGAAGTCAAGTCATTTAGCTTGGTGATTATATTTCACACTTTGCTTGTATGATTCAATCAGCCCCATGGACGGTTTATCCATTAATACAAATTAAATGTTTCCTCTGCAGTCCCTAAATGGGATCAGTCATCGCCAGAATAGCTTAGAGTTCCTCTCTGAGAAAAGCGAATTTACTGACACAACTTTGAATTCAAATAGGATGTGATTTACTAATTGCTGAGGATTTCAAAAACTCACGGGACTGAATTTCTAAGTTGCATACAGAAAACCTCTTTCCAACTATGAATTTTTAGTTAAACAGTCAGTTTGTGTGAACATTCCCGTAGTTCTTTCAAATTAATTGTGAACAGGTGTTTTCGGAGCATTAAGTACTTGGACACCATTTTATGTTAACAGACTTTTGAGAATTTTAAAATACAAAATTTTACAGGTGAATGGTAAGGCAGACATGAATAGGTTGGCCTCTACTGCATTGTAGATTTTTTACTGTTCTAATGGGTTCAGTCAGAGATGTCTACGCTTCAGTTATTTCACACGTGACATAATACTGCTTGCCTTTTATCTTAACCAATTTACCTCACTGTCCTGTTACTTCAACATTATTGTGAACCTTAAGAAGGTGTTGCTAAAGTATTTCTTAGACTTCAGGGTTACTGTTGAAATATTTTTACAACATAGTGGTTATTTTAGGGACAAATGAAGATGTCAACTTATGAGAGCTGTTAACTAGTGTATACACTGTAAATGAAATGTGTTCTAAACTTTAAGCAGAAACTGGATTTTGAAAATAGCAGAGATGACAATTTTTCAGATGAAAAAATCTGTGAAATTTCCTGTCAAACCCACAAAATATGCAATAATTGGTGCGAAAAATTCTAAGGGAATATACCGAATTCACTGTTAATTTTAAACCAGTATTTCATGCAACGATTATTTCATCTAGCGTAGTTGCATTCCAAGTTATCTGACTCTACACATTCTTCAAAGTGCAGAAATACTCGTCGTGGTGGACAAGTATCTCGTTATTAACTAGAATCCCCTCTGCATTACTGATTTCTATCCTTATTTAGAAACTGTTTATATTCTGTTTGCTCAGGCATCAGATGGTCACTTCCATAATTTTAAGTTTCATATACACGTGATCGTCTCAGGATTAGTAAATATCATTATCATGTTAAGTAACTATTGGGTTATGTGTGTGAACTGCTGAATGCAATATCTCTCTAAAATCTTCGAGTTTTCAATGCTTCTCAAACTAATATCATGTCATGAGCCATCTGGAAATATTTAACACATTTAATCTGATATATGAATTCAACTTTTTTATTTAATGGGAAAATGCTGACATGCTTCTAGAACTCAGTATTTCGCTTTCTAATTGTTTCTGCCTAGGCAAGTGAAATTAAGACATGCAATATAATTGCTACAATGAGATTTCTGTCAGTCAGATTAAAAGACTATAGCGATTCACTAATTTTACATATAAATCATATGCTTAGTATTAAGCTGTTTCAGTCAATATCTTACTGTCGCCTGACACATAGTCAGTGTGGGTATTGAACTTTTAGGCTTACTGAGATGCAAATGGGACTGTTTAATTTAACCAATATTAGCATGAATAAATGTATTAATTAGGCGGGAAAATTTATCATAATCTCACAAATAAATTCACTGCACATGCATACATGTGTATAAATTACCTGCATGAAATTCCAATCTGTATTCTTGGTCTGTGTGGCATTGTACTGTCTTATAACAAATAAACAGCTGAGGTATAATATCTATTTATTGGCAATGCGTATATAAATATGTGTATATGTATATATATATTTCAGTTAGCGTGCTATTTTAATTGTCCTGTCTGAATTATTCTTCCTGTGGATATCACTTCAGTGTGAACAATGTCATAATTACAGGTGTACTGTATTAAAGGAAGTTAAATCGAACTTCATATATTTATATATATAATCTCATGAATGTTATGCAATAATTGGTAACAAATAATTATCTATATGTGCTTAGGAGACAAATAAATATTTTTGAATATATATGACATGATAAATAAAATAAATTTTTTAAATGAATATCAAGTTTCCATTTATATATATGTTTTCTTGTTCCCTATTTGATGACTATTGAGTACTTTAGTTTGCGTAGATTGGTGAGAACATAATTTCACTGAAATCTGATTGGTCAATTTGATTTGTTTGAAGTGAATTCTAGGAGTAAAGAAATTTGTTTTCAGGACAAAACTACCTTAATGAGTGTTCTCTATGAGGAAGAATACATTTTAAACAAAGGTATTTTAGTTACTTTCACGTAAATTCAACGAATTAAAATTAAAACGTTTGAGAAAACATGTTTGTAAAACTGACAAATAGTGAATTATGAATAAATCAGTCTAACTGTGTGAAATCTCAAAGTAGTTTCACTTGTGAATCGACGTCAGACTTCGGGGAAAAGAGACCAAAGTCTGTGATTTTTTTCTACATTCTTGTGAATAACATCAAGTCGTTTCAAAATCTAATGGAGGATCTTTGTTGAATAAATACCAGCGAGTTCTTATGTGAATTTATGGAGGAAGTCATTAAAAATTTAGAGGACTGATTAGTTAAACAAGAATATTCTTTTCGATAAATTCGTCATCAGACTATATAATTATATGGTCATATTAATTGAAGAACTATTTTTATTAACAACATTAATGTCTTAAATTACACTGAGTCAATAGTAGCAATAGGTTACGTCTAAAAAGCGTCAGTAATAGATATTCTAACGTATTAATATAACATTGAACTGAATATCGGATAAGTTAGAGAAGGTAACACAAAGTTGTGAAATTATGGGTTCGAAAGGAGGACAGGGTAGCAACAGTGGCTGAGCCTGTTTCTTTTGCACGCAGAGCCCTAGCTGATTTAAAAGAATTGAAATGGTCGCCACTGTTTGCATTGTTCCGTATCTGGAGGCCTTTGGTAATTTATTTGATAGCCTTTAGATTATAGAGGAAGACTTTTAATGCCGCCTTTGTGGCTTATTTCGGCGAGATAATCTATTGTGGAACTGCTGATGGTTTTAACAGCTCCACATGAGTAGTTGAATTGAAGGATGCGATTGGAGGTGACTAGCCTAGTTACTTCGTCTTTCATTTCCGGAAACACTACCGTTCGTTTCTAATACATTAGCTGGAGTTTATTGGCATTACATGTTTTCTGAATAGATTTTCTTAACTTGTTAATTATCATTTCACCTTGTATATCACTTCTGAATTGTAGTCATATATACACAGGCTTCTTCTTATCAAATGCAGACGAATTCGTTTCTACTCTTGATTATTATTATAATAATTGTTTCATTTAGTTCCTAGAAGAACAAAGGGCTTCAATTGCACGTCTCCATTGAGTTCGGCTCTCTGCCAACGTTTTGACCTGGCTCCACGTCTGCTAACATGCTTTCATCTCCTCTCCACATCACCTCATCCATGACACCCTCACACTGACGACCAGCTAACCGCTTCCCACTCGGCTTCCACTCGAGAGCCTGGCATGTGATGTCAGTGATGGTTTGTTTTCTCAGTGTGGCCAATCCACCTCCATTTCTTCCCGCATATTTGTTGCACAGTTGGTTTTTGCTGGGTTGATTGGCTCCCGGAGATCCCTGTTGTTGATATTTTCTGGTCGGCCATCTGAAATTGAGTATTATTGAGCGAAGATAGCTGTTGATGGTCTGTAGTTTGTTCGAAGTGCCCTTCGTGACGCGGCGCCAAGCCTCTGATCCGTATGGTATCACTAAATTCATATTGGAGTTCAAAATCCGCATCGTGTTTTTCATGCTGAGTGTTGTTGATCTCCTCACAGACTTGAGAGAAATGAAAGCTTGCCCTGGTTTCCCGATCCTCGCTTTGATATCCTCATCAGTTCCGCCTGTAGTTGAGAAGATGCTTCCCAGGTAGGTAGGCAAAAGAGATTGCTTCTTTCAAATTTCCCCCATTTATGCTGATTGTTGTCTGTTGTTGTTGCTGTTGGCCAGAAGTCTTCACCGCCTCTGTTTTCTCTATATTCACCTGAAGTCCCTCCTATTTTTGATTCTTCTTCTGCCAACTTGTTGCTTTTCGCTTGCATATCTTCCAGTTTGTTGGAAATCAGACATACATCATCGGCAAAATCCAGATCCTCCAAGTTCTTTTCTGTGGGTCCATTTCATGCCTGTTTCCTCGCTGCCAGCTGTTTGTCGCATTATCCAGTCTACCACAAGCAGGAGTATCATCGGACTTAGTAGGCAACCAGCTTGTCTTACTCCTGTCTTCACTTCGAAGGATTCCGTGAGCTTCTCGTTGCGGATTACTAAGCATGCAGCATTATCTTACAGCTGTTGGATGAGGTGTATAATTGTCGATGCGACCCCGTGGTAGAGAATTAGTTGCCAAATCACTTCTCGATCGACACTGTCGAAAGCCTTTTCAAAGTCAATGAAGTTGACATAGAGAGATGAATGCCATTCCAAGCTCTGTTCAATGATGATCCGTAGTTTTGCGATTCGATCGATGTATTTTTCTACTCTCTAGGCCATGTATTTTGTGATGGACTTTTCAGGGTGGTCCTTTTCAGTAAGCGTGCTATGTGCAACCTTAGTTTTGTCTTCAATCACATCTACTGAACAAATAGTCCATCCTAAAGCTGAGGGTTTATATTAAATTTCTTTCATAATGGAGAGGAAACAATCCGTGAAACTGTGTAAATTGACAGGTCGAAGTACTTTTCTCATACAAATTACTTATCACACTACCATCTGGTCTTATTGTCAGTAGGACGTCTATAATAGACTATTACACATATTTTGGTAAATCAAAATACGATTATACAGCCCATGAAGATGCTTTAATCGATAAAATATTCTCTTTGCTGAATTGTGTCTTATTTTCTTCATAAGTCAATAGATATTTCGGGTTTTTTTGAAAAATTAATAGTTTTTATCTGCATTAGTATAGCTGGAAATATTCACACCAGTGTAATCGATTTTCATTGGACTGTATACATCCAGACCTTGATGGTGATTGACTACATGAACAGAAAGATGTCCTGGACGAAAGTTGTTGAATAGATACTATCAGTAAAATAAACTCCAGAAAGGTGATAAAAAAGTAGCCTATTAACATATGCTACAAACTTCTCTGCATTAGTTAATTTAACCTGTCATTTTTAAGAAAATTAAGTGAAGTCTTGTTAGCTTATTAGGCATAGAAAACTGTTCAGATGGAAAATTGAAATAAGATAGATTTATTAAAGATCATTTTTCAATGAAAACTAAAAAAATCACTTTCATGGTGGGAAAACTGTTGCTTGTCTACAAAGTCTGCTTTCTCTAGAAGTCCGCAGCAGTACAAAGGATTGAAAAATTGTTTTGTAGACAGATCAATGTCTATTCTAACAAATACGTGAACAAATGGCTATCTGAGAGTGTGATAATGATCAAAACCAAGGTAGAACACTTTCCGTTTGCAGACTGGGTAATTAAACCATGGAGATTAAGGCTAAATAAGGAGTACACTATTGAGTGTTACCTGTAAACTTTCTGTTAAGAAATATGTGGTTTAGCTTACAAAGGCTTGAATGCCCACTGTCGTGAAATAAATAACACAGACTTATAGTGGATATATTTAGGTGAATAAGAAAATCAAAGAATTTGTTTGCTCAAAATATGGTTTACAGGATCTAGGTTTCTTTCAAGTACTGTAGAATGTATGAGATCAAATGGATTCATGTTTCAAACAGTCGGATATTATTTTGCACATTCCAAAGAAAATATTGTAACAGCTTTATTTTGGTACCACTCAATCTTCTTAATACTAGAATGCTTCAGTGGCATATTGCAAGACGCGCTGGTGATTGATTTAATGTGTCATTTGGGTCTCATTAAAATGAAGAATTCATTCAGATGATATTAGTCATAATTATTCAGCTTTATGTAGTACATATAAAAATAACAATTAAAAAAATTTTGGGTTCCTTTAGTGTCAAAGATTATTTGTTTTTCATTCCTTTACGTTCCCAGTGGAACATAGGGCTTCAAGCTAGAGGCTTGTAGTTTCTGTAGCAGTGGTGATTATTTTTACAGGAGGGAGTTGCTAGCCTCATATCCAACCGTCCCTATTTACCAGTCTTACTACTGGCTTAGCGAGGTAAAGAGGCATATTTCCGTGTTTCGCTGCTGAGATTACTCCATCTATCCTTCATTCCTGCCTACCTAACATGCATAAATGTCGTCGATCCATAACGCCTATCATGTAAATGGAAACTCTAAGAAATATCCTATTTCAGCTGGCAGTAATTTAAATTATGGAATGCGTAAATGTTTACATAGGCAGCACTTATACAATCCAGATGAATATTATTGATTTTACATCTAGAAGTCAGGTATACAGAATAACACCTGGGGTGATTTCTTTTCATACCAGCTTAGAGATATGTTTGTCTTTTTCAAAGTTTAAAAACTAAAATAGATTCCATGGGATAGGTGTTTGAGAAGGACTTATTAGTTTTTTCCCCTTGAGTTAGATAAAAATAAGAGTGATACTATCTTCTACTGAGATGCTAAGAAGACAAGACTACTGGAATTTACTAAAGTTCGTATTTTGAGGTGACCTGCACAGTGGAATATCTTAGTCATTCACTGCTGATTACGTCACAGGGAAAGCCTTTAGCGTTAGTTTATCGAATACTGACACAATTACAGTTAAATAAGACCGGGAGAACATTGGTCGACTGCTATGAAAATTCATACTAGTAGGACATTATGTATTCTACAAGATACTGAAGAGTAGGTTGAGGTTTTCGAGAGTATAGTTTTCAGATTGTGCCAGGTGAAGACATTTACAGGTTGTAGCTACTCTTTTTTGATACTGAAAGGGACGATGACTAGCCGGGAGGAAGAAGAAGCAATAAGAAACTCTGATAGCACAGCGGACCTACTGCCTAAAATATGTGCAGAATGAAATGGAGATGCATTATACATACACCGAGGAAATTTTTAAGTGATATCAAACGCCAGACAAATCGTTGTGCGGAATCTGAATGAA